TTTCATGCACTTGTTCCTTATAGCTCTGTCCTCTGCTCCCCACCCCTCCTGGAAACCATTCATGTGTTTCGGGATATAATTGTGTGTTTGTATTCTTGTAAAGTGTGTGTCATTTTTTAAAAAGGTTTTATTTATTTGAGAGAGAGAGAGTATGTGCAGGAGCAGGTGGGGGGCAGAGGCAGAAGCAGACTCCCCGCTGAGCAGGGAGCCCCACACAGGACTCGATCCCAGGACCCTGGGATCATGACCGGAGCCCAAGGCAGACGCTTCACCGACAGAGCCACCCAGGCGCCCCAGTGTGTGTCATTTGGTACGCAGACATTCTTGTGCTTACTATCTGCATGGTGTGTCTTTTCCTTTCCATTTATTTGTAACAATCGTGAGCAGTCTGTAGACAGCATATGGTCTTGCTTTTATATTCAGGGTGATAATCTCTGCCTTCGACGTGTGTAGTCGGGTCAAGTTTGATGTAGTTACTGGTCTAGTTGGGTTCAAGTCCACCACTGGCAAGCAAATAGCTTTAGTGCTTTATTTCCTCATTTGGTTTCTCAGCCACATATCCAAAAAGTATTTCGTTGGCACTGCACGGTTAACAATGCGCATCCTGAATTTATCAAAATTGGTTTGGGGTCAATATTAACCACTTCACAATGTAATAACTTTGCAAGAGTAGAATTTCCTTTACCCTCATTCTCCTTTGGGCTGTTGTTTTACTTTTTACTTTTACATATGCCATTTCACAAGGATATTTTTTTAATATTTATTTATTTAAGTCATCTCTATACCCAACGTGGGGCTCAAACTCATGACCCTGAGATCAAGAGTCGCTTCCTCCTCTGACCAAGCCAGCCAGGCACCCCTCTTATTTTTATTTTATTTTATTTTTAAGATTTTATTTATTTATTCATGAGAGACAAAGAGGCCGAGGCAGAGGAAGAAGCAGGCTTCCCGCTGAGCAGGGAGCCCGACGCAGGGCTCGATCCCAGGACCCTGGGATCATGACCTGAGCAGAAGGCAGACGCCCAACGACTGAGCCACCCAGGCGCCCCTCACCCTCATTTTTTTAAGATGTTATTTTTAAGTCATCTCTACACCCAACCCGGAGCTCGAACTCACAACCCAGATCAAGAGTTGCGCACTCCACTGACTGAGCCCACCGGGCGACTCTTACCTCATTGCTGAGAGATATTTTTGCTGCATCTAGAATCTCTGGATTGACAGATTTTTTTTTTTCTTTTAGCACTTTGGAGATGTCATTTCACTGCCTCCTGGCCCCCTTGTTGGCTTATGAGGAGTCATCTTTCATGCTCCCAGTTCCCTCTGGGCAATGAGTGTTCCTCCTCTGGCCTCTTGCCACATCCTCCTTCTATCTTTGGTTTAATCAGATTGATAATGATGCACTTTGATGTCGTTCTTTTTATACTTACCCTGCTTGGGGTTCGGTGAGCTCTGGAGTCTATGTTGATTATTTTAATCAAATTTTGGGGAATTGGGGGCATTAGTTCTTCAGACATTCTTTGGTGCTATTCTCATTTTCTTCTTCTGGGAAGTCAGTTACCTGCATGTTAGACCATTTATCTGACCCTCCCCTTATCCAGCGGGTCCTTGAGGGTCTATTCATTTTTATTTGGTCTTTTTGTTCTCTTTCTTCAGATTGGATCATTTCTACTGATCTGCCTTCAAGTTTAATGACTCTGTTTTCTGACACTTACAATTTCCTGTTAAACCTACCCAGCAAATTTTCTTTTAGTTATTGTACTTTTAAAGTCACAATTTCCATTTGATTCTTTTTTATAGTTTCCATTTCTATGATAAAATTTTCTATCTGCTCATCAAAATGTTATTTTCCCTTAATTTTTTGAACACATTTATAATAGGTGCTTTAAAGTCTTGTTTGGCAAATCAAGATAATTTTTGTTTTAGTTGGCTGCTTTTTCCTTGACTATGGGCAATGTTTTCCTGTTTCTTTTCATTCCTAGAAAATTTTCATTGTGTACTGGACATTACAGATGATATGCCATAGAAAGTCTGGGTTTTGTTATCTTTCTCTGAAGAGTGTTGGTTTTTGTTTTGTTTTGCAATTTAATTACTAATCGTTTCGAACTTGTTTAGGTTTGGTTTTGTGCTTTATTGGGGTTATCTGTGGAAAACTCCTGGTGTTTCCCTGGGTCCTCTAACTTAGTGGGACTCAGCCTCCAAACTGTCTCCCCTGTATATTTTATTAGGGCTTTAGAGAAAGAAGAAAGAGTAAGCCTACCTCTAGTGGCCCCGACTCATAAGGAGGAGACTTTCCAGGTCATAGCTGGATGCCTAGGGCGTGAACTAGGTGTCGATGAGCTGTGTCCACTCTGGCTAGGCCAGAGCTCCCAGGTCCCCAGCACTACTACTGGTCTGTTCTGTCCTGAACCACTCTTGGGTGATCTCATCCTGCACGTGTTCAGCCCAATCCTCAGTCATGCACTAGAAAGGAACCAGACAGAGACCACACACAGACTTGTGGGCACAGCCTCCTCCCCTCCCTGAAGATTCCAGCCCCTTCAGTTGCCTCAAACCCTGATCTGCCTCCACTGCTTGGCGGGACCATGTGTTCTGCTTGGATTCTGGCTCCCTGCCCCTCAGTGAACGTGTTATCCTAGGCAGAACATCTGTGGGTCTAACCTCAGGGGTTTCTATCCACCAAGGACGGAAGTCTTGTGCTGCCTATTATCCATTTCCAGGAAACAGTTACTGGGTATATTTCTCAAGCTCCATGTTATTTACAGTGGGAATGCTAGTCTGGGAACCAGTTAAAACATCACCACTGGAAGCAAATGTGCATGATTTTTAGTCTATGGGGAGGACAGGGTGTTGTAAATCTCAGTCACTTGTTCAATTCGGATCTAAGGGCCAAGTTACAGTTGCTCCTGAGGAAGCACTAGCTGGTGGAAGGGTCTGGTGGGGTCTCAGGAGACAGAAATTCATCTTAGTTGGGCCAACTCCCCAGGGGGTGGTTGGCCTCCCCAGAGACACCATAAGGGACGAGCCTCTCCCTGCATGGAGAGAGGCCGAGGGGTGTGAGGACCCCATGACTTGGCCTACCGACAAGAAACCCCTAGAAACCTCACCCCCAGAAAGTGACCCTGGACCCAACAGCTGGGCCCTCAGCTTCCAGACTTACAGTGCATGGGGCCTTGTGCCTGTAGGCTGGGGTCCACTCCCAAAGGGTGTGGGGACAGGCATAGGGAGGCAGCTTGCAGGCAGGAAGCTTGATGCCCCCGCCCCCTAATCCTGGGAGTAGCCCGGATGGCTTTTCCCAGGGTCATTGCCTCAGGCCACCTTGGGAAAGAGCTTACTAGGCTCTTGGCAAAGGAGATCTGCCGGCAGGCCCTCTCCCTACACCTTATACATTCGTTATCACCCCATTATATTGGGAACAGGGGCCTGACAACTTTTCCCACCAGAGAAGCTGTCAGCTGAGGGCAGGCTCAGTCCCAAGGACCCAGGAGCTTTCGGGAAGGGGCCCCTGCCCAATAACCCTGACATCCAAGGCCTCCCTGTCATTCTCCAAGCCCTGGTGCCTGGCTGTGAAACAGTCAGCTTCTGAGAGGGCGGAGACCCACCCCTGGAGCGGGGCTAGGGGCCTGCAGGAGATGGTGGAGGCCGGCAGGGTGGGAATTCCCTGAGAAGGACCGAAACCTCTGCTGTGGTTCTGGCCTCCACGCCCAGCCGGCTCAGCCAGTGCAGGGCGCAATCCCCTCCGCAGACATCCCGCACTCTCCCTCTGAGGTTGGGGGGGGGGCAGCGGGGGGTAAGGACTGGCCACCGTGGTGAAGAAAAGAATCCATGAGGTGTGGAGGTGTGGTTTGCAGCTGACATGCCAACCGGGGCAGTGTGTCCCGCGTGGCAAGACGAAGGCAGAATGCAGGGGCTGGCTCCCAGGTCCTCAAAGGAAACCTTGCAGGAACCCTTTCTCTGTGATGCCCCAGCCTGAACACCCGTCCACAGAGGGGGTGTTCGAAGCGGGAGAGGCTGGGCGTTGAGCCCACAGACACCCCCAGGGCAAAGCCCTCCCCAAACTGAACTCTTGGGATGGCCTGAGCCCTGGATCCCACTCCCGGCCGGGAGCACAGAGGACCACCCAGGGGCGAGATCTGACCTGGAGTGTCTCATGTGATTTTATTTATTCATTTGTCAGAGAGACAGAGAGAGAGAGAGAGAGAGTAAGCACAAGCAGGGGGAGGGGCAGAGGGAGGCGCAGTCCCTGCCGAGCAGGGAGCCCGATGCGGGACTCGATTCCAGGACGCTGGGATCATGGACTGAGCCACCCAGAAGTGCCAATAAATAAATAAAATCTTAAAAAAAAAAAAAGAATGTGCCATTCATTCATTCATTCATTCATTCCTCACTCCCCAGACACAGTTGGAAGCGCACTCTCTGCCCAGCGCTGGGGGAACAGAGGCGGACAGCGCACCATGCCCTCCCGGGGCTCAGGCTGTCGGGAGTCACAGAGCGGATGTGGTGGGTGCAGGAGCCCAGAGGGGTGACCCTCAGAGAAGCTGATGTCCCAGCTCGGCTTCTTGGACCCAGATGCCAAGATGGTGGGCGGAGCAAAGAGCCGAGCAGGCAGCGGCCAGCAGGGAGAGAGCCCGGGGCCTCTCCCGGCCGACAGGGCAGGAGCTGAGCAGGGCTGAGAGCCGGGCCGTGAGACTGCAGATGGCCTGGCCTTAGGGACAGGCAGATCCTCATGAAGTAGAACCAGGGGGGCCTGATGGGCAGCAGGTGGCCAGTGGAGCACGAACAAAGGTCTGAACCAGTGCAGGCTCTGGGCTCTGGGTGGCACAGCAGACAAGTGCCACTCAGAGAGAAGCCACTTGCTCAGCATGGATGGCACCAGGGGCAGCCCCCCTCCACACCCCTCGTGGCACCGAAGCGCCCTTGCTTGGGAGACAGGCTTGGTCTCCAGGCCCTATGGCCATGTGCCCTCCCCACCCCCCACCCCCACCTGGCCACCTTCTACATGTGCACAGAATAGTCGTGGGATTGTGCCTGTCTGCACCTCCCAGTCACAGAATGTTCTAGGTGGTGTCAAGCCTTCCCAACTGAAGAACTGGCCAGCCCAGGCAGTGGGGTGGAATCTGGCCTACGGGGGGCCCTCCTTCCCAGGCCTCCCTGAGGCCCCCATGCCCTTCCTGAGTGCAGCCTGGAGCCCAGGCTTTTCCAGTGGGTGCCCAGGGTTTGGCCGTTTGGTGAGGAGCCCCCTCCCCTCAGAGCCCACCTGTCCCTGGCCCCAGCCAGCTCTGACTTAGCTCCACCCCACCCTGCTCAAGTGTCCCCTTTGGGGCTTGTCCCTGGCCAGGTCCAGTGTCGGGCAGGTCTGCTCAAGCGTGCTCTCCTTGCCCTGAGAAACAAGAAAAGCAAATAAAACCTCCCTCTCTCTTAAGGAGAAAACCTGAGAAGTTAGCTTGGAGGCTTGGGAAGTACCTTTGTTCAGGTGCAGCCCAGGCCTTTCATGTGCGGCCCCTGGGTGCCTGAGGCCTCCCCCCACCCCCCCAGCACCTGCTGGTGTAGGGCGCAACATCTGCCTCTTGCCATGACCAGGTTCCAGATGGCGCAGCTACTAGGGGGCGGAGCCTGCACCAGCCTGAGTCCCTGCACAGCTGGCCCCGAGCCCTAGTGGGAGTGGGAGAGAAGGCGTCCTTACACCAAGCCCCTGAGATTATGGGGCTTGTGAGTGCTGCATGGTTTCGGCCTGTGGCATGGGAGCTCAGCCAACGGCAGCCCCGGGGAGCATCCCCAGGAGACCACCCTCATCTCAGACACCAGCAGCAAGGTGAGGGGACCCAGGGCTACCCTCCTTGCAGACCAGCTGGCTACAAATTCAGGGGACCCCACAGACACCCTCAGTTTCCATAAGTCACTAGAATGATCCACAGAAGTCAAGAAAATGCTATACTTAGGATTACAGTTTTCTTACAGCAAATGGATATGGAAAATCCCCAAAGGGAGAGACAGAGGGCGGCACCCGGGAGAGGCCAACTTGCCCACTGTCTCTCCCCTCCCGGAGTCTTGACCCGTGACAACATGCATGAAATATCCCCAGCCAGGAAGCTTGCCTGAACCTTTGGTGTCCAGGAGTTTGGGGGGCTCTATCACCTACTGCCCGTGTGGCTGGCCGACCTTTAGACGCCAGGCCCCCCCAGAGATCAGGCCCGATATAACGTATCCTTAAACCCCCAGCATAAATCACACCTGAGACTACCCTGTGCCCAGGCCCCCAGGCGAGCCGACACACGCCTGTCAGGCGGGACATGGCAGGGGCCCAGAGATCCTGTCCCAGGAGCAGAGACAAGGGCCAGACCCCTCTGTAGTTAACTCTCCACTAAACACAGTCTAAGAGGGCTGGGGGTTCACCAAGCAAGCTGGTGCAATGCAGGTGAGCGCCTGCTCCTGGCCCCCCACCTTGGGTGGGGGGTCCCCGCACCGGCGGCCTGCCACAGCCTGGGTCACACCCTTCTTGCGGCCTGTTTCATGCCCCTTTCCGTGGTGGGTCTGCCACATGCATCCCAAGCCCAGAGCCCAAGCCGGCCTGCGGTGGTTACGCATGTCGTTCGGTGATCTTCCTCTCGGAGACTGTGGGGAGTCCGTGTCAGGGGCCCTGGGGCCAGTGCCAGGCACTTGGCAAGTCTTTGCTCCATCAGCCCTGATCTGGGCATGGAAGCCCCTTCACGGGCTGCCCTGGGGTGCAAGCGCCCTCACCCTGGGCTTCTGAGCTTGGGTTCCGGCATCTCAGGGAGTGCGTGGCTGGTTGTGCAGTTGGCTGAATTACGTCAGATTTTGCTACTGGCTTTACTGGGAAGCTAAGTCCGATGCACTGTGGCGGGTTTGCATCGGGTGGGCGGACGCCGCGCACGGCGGACCCGAGCCACAGGGGACGGCTCGCCCGCGGTTCGGAGGACAGATGCGAAGCAGAAGGACAATGCACTGCCTGAGGTGGTCACAGCTGACATCCCTCCATCAGAGCTAACATCACCGGTGGTGAGACGGGTTCGCGCGGCACCAGCTGACGGCGGGTTGTGAGACACAGCGCCCTTCCCCGGCGCCGCTGACAGAGACGTGCAGCCCCTCACCACGAGGGAACGCTGGGCAAGGCCCAGCTGACAGGCGTTCTACAAAAGAACTGACCTCCAGGCTCCAGAAATGCCAAGGTCATAAAGGTCAAGGAAAGACTGAGGAGTGTTCTGGGGAGAGGGAGACGAGAGAGACGGGCCATCCCAAGCCACAGGTGAGCCTGGACTGGACCCTTTCGCTACCTGTTCAGGCAAGAGGAGCGAGTGACCTGCAGGGATGCGCCGAGCCGTGGACAGTCCTCCCAGGACGCTGTGGGGCAGGGTCTCAGGCCACGTGCTCTCACTGCAAACACAAAGCAACTGGACACCAGGAACCTGGGGAGGTGATGGATGTGTTTATGACCTTGATTGTAGGGATGGTTTCACGGGGGTTTCCCTATGCCCTAACTCCTCCAATTGTATACATTTAATCTGTGCAGTTCAGTGTTGCTAAAAAGAAACCACAGGCCCAGGGGCACCTGGGTGGCTCAGTTGGTGAAACATCTGCCTTTGGCTCAGGTCATGATCCCGGGGTCCTGGGATCGACTCCCACATCGGGCTCCCTGCTCTGTGGGGAGCCTGTTTCTCCCTCTGCTTGTGCGCCCTCTCTCTCTCTGACGAATAAATAAATAAAATCTTAAAAAAGAAAGAAAGAAGAAAGAAAGGAAGGAAGGAAGAAAGGAAGAAAGAAAAAGAAAACCAGAGGCCCAGGGGCGCCTGGGTGGCTGTCGTTAAGCGTCGGCCTTCGGCTCAGGTCATGACCCCAGGGTCCTGGGATCGAGCCCCACATCGGGCTCCCTGCTCAGCGGGAGGCCTGCTTCTCCCTCTCCCACTCCCCCTGCTTGTGTTCCCTCTCTCGCTATGTCTCTCTCTGTCAAATAAATAAATGAAATCTTTAAAAAAAAAGAAAAAAAGGAAACCAGAGGCCCAAACCGTAGTCACTCATATCAGGGACCCTTGAACCAGTCAACCTGGGAATGTCCCGGTCAGCACTCGGAAGTGTCTGTTCCCCTTAGGAGAGCCACCTTGCCTGGAGCAAGGCATCCTTTGCTAATAATTTCCTTTTTCCTAGTCCCTCTCTTCCTTTAAAAACCTCTCCTTTTCTGCCGCTCAATGGAGTTCCTCTCTACTTGCTAGATGGGAAGATGCCTAATCCACAAATTGATTGAAAAAGTCAATTAGATCTTTAAAATTTACTCAGTTGAATGTTTGTTGACAGTGTCTATCAATTATACCTCGATGAAACCGTTCTTTTTAAAAAGAACATCACTGGGAAAATTTATGAGACCTGAATGGGAGCTGAGGGCACATGGTGGGGATTCGTGGTGTTAGTCTCCTGGCTAGTGTGTGTGCGTGCGTGTGCATGCGTGTGCATGTGCACACGCGTGTGTGTGTGCGTGAGCTTGTGCAGGATAACGTCTGTGTTTGAAGGAAGCAGACATGAGGCTACTTGGGGGTGATGGGGTGCTAGTTTTACTCTCAAATGGCGTGGTGGGGAAGTTTGTAGCATCCTTGCAATTCCGAATTATTTCAAAATAAGAATTATCTGTAGCATTTGAACTGTGTCTGGAACACGGTGGCGGCCTTGGAGGGATGGAGCACACGGTGTGGTGCTTTGATTTGGGGTGTGGTGGGTTAATGGAAGCAGGGAGGTGTTTTTAACCTGTGGGTGTTTGGGAGAACACTCCCCAGAGGGCCTTCTGTGAGATCAGGCAAGGGCAGGCGGGGGGGCTTGGGGCTGGAAGCCAGCTGCCAGGGCTCTGGGAGGGGTGGGAGCAGGTGTACTCCATCCTGGGGATCTTGGATGAGACCTGCGGGTCCCATTGTAGACGAGGGCTCAGCCCTACGCCATCCCAACGTGCTTCCCAGGCAGGGCTCCAATGCGCATTCTGGGGGCCTCGCTGTACACAGGACTGTTCCGCCCCCACAGCCGGCACCCTGAATCCCTCTTGGGAAAGGATTTCTAACAAGTGTCTGGGAAGAAAGCCAGATTGCATGTGCTGTGCCATGCCCAGGGCAAGGATTTCCTCCATTTTACTCCCTGATGATTCACGAGGTCAAGGACATGCCCAGAGGGCAAGCCCACCTGGGCCTCCGGAGCTGAGGAGGTGTCAGAGAGGCAGGATGCGCTTTAGGACAGGAGCCTCTCTTCCCCGGGACCACACCTGGGGTCCGGCCAGGCCTGAGTGAGGGAGAGGCGGCAAGGGCCCCCTGTGTGTCAGGGTCGCACCTGGAGGGCCTGGTGGAGGGGTCATGTGCCTGAACTCCGGACCTCCGGACAGTGGCTTTGGTCCTGCGAGGCCTGTGATACAGGACTGGAAGGCACTCGGGACATCCCCTTGGACTCATCCCCAGGAGCAGACTCACCATCAGAATCCACGAGCATCAGTGGCACGAAGGAGAAATCCACAGTGAGTCCTTTGCCAATGCGAAGAGTCCACCAATCTGTGCTGAGATGAAGTTCCAAAAGGGGGAGGGAAGGGAACCAAAAGGGGACAGCTGGGGAAGGAGAGGACCCCCCCCACCCCAGAGCCACCCCTGAGAGGAATGAGGGCACCTCAGGGCAGCCACACCTGTGCACAGGGCTGATCACTGTGCTTGGAGGCCCGAGGGACAGGAGTCCTAGGCTGGCCAGGGGCGCGTGAGGAAGACTCTGGAGCTGCCGTGGTCCCCAGACTGGGGCCATGGTGGAATAGGGTCAGCGGGGTGGGAGACCAGCCTCAAGCCCAGTGCGTCTTTGCTATCATGCAGGGTCCAGCTCCAGGCCATCTGTCCCCAGCCAGCCAAGAAGCGGCATGCCCCCCAGTCCAGGGTTTATTTTTATTTCCTTTTCCAAAATTCAGGGTGGAATTTTTGGCCAGCACCTTTGGGTTGTGGTGAGGAGGACAGCAGATCCCTGTGAACAAGGAAACAGAAGCTGCCGTGATGCCCCACCCCTGCCCTGTGCCCCCAGCCTCCCTTCCTCGACGCCCCCAGAACAGCCTGCCCTGGGCCTTTAAAACCTCCGTGCCCTCCTCTTCCGCTGGACAGAGGCTCACAGTCAGCACAATGCAGCTGAATTCCAGTGGCCTGCAGGCCCTGGTGGCAGGGGCAGGGAAAGGTGGGTGCGAGCAGGGCAGCTGAGGGTGTGGGAGGGGACGAGGTGGAGAGTAAGGTGGGGCCCAAAGCCTCACAGGTCTGTGTTGGGGTCTGTGAGTCCCTCCATGCACGTCACAGACCACCCCGCCAGCAATTATCCCCTCACTGCACCCCCAACAGCCCCTGGACCTAAGCCCAGGCTGATGTCCACCACCCAGCAGGCTGCACTGGGACAGGACATTGGCCACTCCCTGGGCAGTGCAAGACCCCCTCCCCCCAGACGGTGGCCCTCAGGTTTACAGATCCAGCCAGGGCCTATTCCCTGGGCCCAGTGGGAAGGAGCTACTCTCTGGGGGCCTCCCTTGGCCAGATCCTGGCTGGCCAAGCCTCTGACTCAGACCACCACTTACCCCCTGGTGTCCATTCTCTGCCCAGCACCCTCTCACTGCTCTTTTCCGAGCAGAAGGGGATGTAGCCTCGGTCCTCAGCCTTGACCCAGATGTACTGGGCCATCTGCTCACCCGGTGCACCCGTGCAGGGATCGGGAGAGACACTGTGAAGGCCCTGCATGCCCTGGGAGCCGGAGTGATAGCCGTGAGCCGCACCAACACTGACCTGGTCAGCCTCTCCAAGGAGGTGAGGCACGCAGCCCCGCTGTGGCCCAAGCCTGCCCCCCACACCCTCTGGGTGCCTCATGAGCCTGCTGGGAGTACCTCCTTGATCACTGACCAATGCCTCTCCACAGTGCCCCGGGATAGAGACCGTGTGTGTGGACTTGGGTGACTGGGAGGCCACAGAGCAGGCACTGGGCAATGTGGGCCCTGTGGATCTGCTGGTGAACAACGTTGCCATGCTGCTGAAGCAACCCTTCCTGAAGGCCACCAAAGAGGTCTTCGACAGGTGGGGAGCAGGAGAGCAAGTAGACTGGGGAGGGTTGCTGAGGACGTGGGGCAGATGTGGCCACGGACCATCTGATTGTCTGCCTTCCCCCAGGACCTTCAATGTGAACCTGCGCTCCATGATCCAGGTATCCCAGGTGAGGCAGTGGGAGGACAAGGCCCAGTGATGACAAGGCCAGGTGGGAGTGCGGTGGAGTCAGGCTGCCCCTCTCTTGGCTTCTAGATCGTGGCCCAGGGCATGATCCACCAAGGAGTGCCTGGCTCCATTGTCAGTGTCTCCAGCATGGTGGCCCATGTCTCCTTTCCCAACCTAGCTGTCTACAGCGAGTCCCTCTGCCAGCCTGCACCACCCATTCCATGCAGGAGATGCTGGGCTCCAGGACTTAGCCTCTGTGCAAAGGAGGCTGAATCCCTAAGGGGTCCTCAGGGCTGTCTGCCCTCCACAGGCTGCACCAAAGGCACAATGACCATACTCACCAAAGTCATAGCCGCAGAGCTGGGGCCATACAAGGTGGGCATGGGAGGGGGGCCCTGGGGAACAGGGTTGGGGGTCACAGAAGGTGGGGTGCAGGCAGGGCTTGGGGCTGGCAATGGTAACGGGCAGCAGAGGGCATGGGAGAGGCCTGAGGATCACCCAAGGCTCTGGGCAGTGGGGTCAGTGATGGACTGAACACAGAAAGCAAGTTCCGCAGGTGTGTGTGGGGGGTGCGCAGAGGCTGTGGGGGCGGGGCTCATATACCTGCTGAGGCCCACTTCGACCCCGGGGCCCTGGATCCGGGTAAACTCCGTGAACCCCAAGGTGGTGCCGACGGCCATGAGCCAGAAAGTCTTGACGGACCCCGAGTTAGCCCGGAAGCTGAAGGAGCGGCACCCGCTGCAGAAGTTTGCAGGTCAGCGGGGCTGCGGGGAGCGGCCGAGGCTGCTGGGGCGGACCCGACGGCCGGGGCGCGCCGCTCTGACCCCGCCTGCCTCCCCCCGCCTGGCCCCCGCCTGGCCCCCGCCGCACCCCGCAGAGATGGAGGACGTGGTCAACAGCATCCTCTTCCTGCTCAGCGACCGCAGCGCCCCCACCAGCGGCTCGGGCATCCTCGTGGACGCCGGGTACCTGGCCTCCTAGCGCGTCCCGCGTTGGCGAGCCCGGGGGGTGGGGAGAGGGGCGGTGCTCGGCCCACCGGGCCCCGCCCCACGCCCGGACCACGCCTCCACGCCAACATCCGGCTCCGCCCAACGCCCGGCCACGCCTTCACGCCCGAGGCCCCTTCACCCTCCGGCCCCACCAGCCACTCTCCCGTCCAGACTCGGTATCTGGTCGCGCTCCCCATCCGCACCCGCGCTGCCGGGAAACCCCCTGTCGCCGCCCCCCAACTGTGTCCTCCGCTGTGCTGGTTGGATTTGCCTAAATAAATGGAGGCCATTCTCCTGGATCCAGTGCGTGCCATGGTTTTGGAGGGGTAGCCGCGAGGCCGGGGAGGGGAAATCAGGGATGGGGGGCACATATTTCACTTTCCATGAAGTGAGGGGGCAGATCCTAGAGCCAGCCGGACTCCACCGCCGACCCTGGCTTGTGGCTGAAGGGCAGCGACTTGTTTACACAGAGGAGATTCTTGTTGTCCGCGCCCCTCCCCCAAGAGGCCAGAGGCCAGAGGCCGGAGGGCAGCCTACAGCCACCTTCCCTCCCCGAAGGCTCTGGTCCCGCCCTTCAGCCCCGCCCCGCAGCTGCGACCACCACGGGTCAGAGAGGTTACGGGTCTGGGTCTGGACTAGACGTGGGCCATCCCTCGGGAAGATGGGACGGAGCGCTCAGCCCGGCTGTGAGGGGGCGGGGTGCTGGACCAGTCGAGTTTATCCAGCCCAATGGGATCCAGTTCCACCTCCAGGCACACCTCCCTCACAAGGCGACTCCCGGGAAGGCGGCCCGAGCTGGGCAGGGGTCCACAGCTGCTGCCCTGCCTTGTGTCTGTCCCGAGGCCAGGCACAGGAGCTCTGCGGGTCCTGCCGGGCTCAGCTGCGACCGTCCCAGCCGAGTCCCCACAGGGCACCTGGGGGGTGATGAGGCCTGAGGTGGTCACTCAGCTAGACTGGAAAAGTCTCCAACCCTGAGCAAGGACGCAAGGGATGAGGGGCTGGGGTGGGGTCCTACAGGCAATCGTTCCCCTGGGCTGGGAGAGCACAGGGTGGGGGTGGGGAGAGCTGAGGGCATTTCTGGCCAACCTGCAGGGCCTCCCACAGCAAGGTTTGTGCCAGAGCTGGCCCACTGAGGGTCATGGGACAGGTTAGAGAATTTGGACACTGTTCTGGGGGCAAAGGAAAGCCACAGAAGGGATCTAAGCAGATGTGCCTTTCAGGAAGGACTTTCAGGTGGGGGGCTACTCTTCCCTTGGCCTCTGGCAGGCAGAGGGCAGGGTTTGAGTGGCAGCCAGGGGGTGTGCACTTCAGGACTAGGCTTGGTGGGGAGGACTCACTTGGCTGTTCTCCAGGGGCTTCTCAGATCTGTGCTTCGGGCTGCCCTGGTTACCCTCTCCTCCAGCCAGTCCACTCCTCCAGGCCCAAAGCCCCAGTGACCCAGAGGCCCTGCCACTACGGATTCCCTACTCTTGGCCATAGAAGGTACTCCAGGCAGTTCTAGGCTTTCTCACCATGACCCACTAAACAAATCAGCTTTTATGGGGGCAGTGCACACATATATCTCATATATATCTGTGAATGACCCCAAAGCCTCAGGAAGCAATGCTTGCCCTTGCTGGCCACTGTGCACCTCGGTGACCCCAATCTCTTCTTATCCTACCCGAGTTTCGTAACGTGCCGGCGGTCTCAAGTGGGCGGGCCTGGATGATACTGGGGTTCAGCTCCCTTCCAGGTTAAAGTGGACCTTTGTGGCATTGGCTTCTTCAGGCTTATTTAGTTGTCCAAACTCTCCCTTTGGGCCCTCAGGTGAGCCCGCCTGAGCCGATCCCGGGTCGGGGGCTGGGGAGGAGGCATGCAATCCTTTTCACCAAACTTTCCTTTTCAGAAACAAAACAAGAAGTGTTAGCACTCCGTCCTCCATTTCACATGTAGCTTACACGTTCTTTCCGGCATTAACTACCACATCTGCTTTTTTGTAACAGCCCTGGCAGGGCAAAAAAATGCTCGCGGAGGCTGCTAAACGATTTCACGCCCGGTTGACTGGCCGCCCCTGCCGCGCCCACTCCCTTCGGCGGGTCTCCCCACTAAGGGGGGGGGGGCTATTTTAATGTCCCCGCCCCCAGCCCGGACACCGGCCCGTGATTGGTCGCGCCCCGCCCCGCCCCGCGCCCTCCCACCTGCGGTGTTGTCGCCGCCGAGCGCTGGGACTGCACGCTAATCATGGAGCTGGGGCTCGCGGGCCGCCGGGCGCTCGTCACTGGGGCGGGCAAAGGTGGGCCTGAGGGGCGGCCGGGGTGGGGGGACGGCGGGCGGCCAGGGTCCGGGGGTGGCCGTCGGGCGGGGGGGTGCGCCACATTGAGCCGCGCTCCCCGCAGGCATCGGGCGCGGCACTGTCCAGGCGCTGCACGCGGCGGGTGTGCAGGTGGTGGCCGTGAGCCGGACCCGGGCCGACCTGGACAGCCTGGTCCGCGAGGTAGGCGCCACCCAGTCCCCGTCCAGCGGGCGGCGGGAGGCAGGCGGGGCGGCGGGGAAGTGGGGCCCGGACGCGCAGGCGCCAGGCGCTGGGGCTGACCGAGGACCCTCAGCAGCCCCTCCCAGGGCGGTCGGCCCTCATGAGCGGCCCAGTGTCCGGAAAAACAGCGACACCCGCTGGGCTTGGAAGGAGGCAGAAACGGCTGCTTTTGCAGGCTTGGGGCCTGGGGCGCTAGCGTGCAGGAAGTGGACTGGCCAGAGGCTGGGCCAGCCTCCAGGTCCCTAAGCCTGAAATGCCCAGGGGCCCAGGGGCCGTGTTAGCTCCTCTAACACCTCCTTCAGCAGCCTGGGATTCTGAACCCCAAGAAGGGAGCTGGACCCTCTGGGATCTCTAATCCCTCCCCGTGTCAGTCTGAAAGGTCTCATGTGGCAGAGGCCCAGCTGTGCCCCTCCTTGGGCATGGAGCCTCTGGTAGCTGTGCCCCCCCCCACCCCCATACACACAGTGCCCTGGGGTGGAACCCGTGTGTGTGGACCTGGGTGACTGGGAGGCCACGGAGCGGGCACTGGGCAACGTGGGCCCTGTGGACCTGCTGGTGAACAACGCTGGCGTGGCACTGCTGCAGCCCTTCCTGGAGGTCACCAAGGAGGCGTATGACACGTGAGCCGGCCAGGGTGGAGGAACCCTAGGGCAAGGGCTGCCCCCTGCAGCAGCAGCCCCAGTCCCTGACCAGGGTCCCTCCACCTGCCTCCAGGTCCTTCAACGTGAACCTACGGGCTGTCATCCAAGTATCCCAGGTGAGCTGCCTTCAGGGCGGGAGTGGGAATGGTGGGTGACTAGTTCTGCGTCATGCTCCCTCTGCAATTCCAGATCGTGGCCAGGGGCTTAATATCTCGGGGAGCCCCGGGCTCCATCGTGAACGTCTCCAGCCAGGCCTCACAGCGTGCGATAACTAACCACAGCGTCTACTGTAAGCCCCGGCTACACCCTGGCCCCGACCCCACTGACCCCCAAGCCTGCAGCCAGCTCAGGCTCGAGGCATGCCTCTCCTCACAGGCTCCACCAAGGGTGCCGTGGACATGCTGACCAAGGCGATGGCTCTGGAGCTTGGGCCACACAAGGTGAACCCCACTGGGGTGCCTCCCATCACCCAGCCCACCTGCCCTGGGCACCTAGCCTGCCTTGCTGACCTCCTGCCTGTCCTGGTGTAGATCCGTGTGAACGCGGTGAACCCCACAGTGGTGATGACACCCATGGGCCAGGCCAATTGGAGCAACCCCCAAAAGGCCAAGACCATGCTGGATCGAATCCCACTTGGCAAGTTTGCTGGTGAGTCCGGCAGGAGCCCAACGGGGAGTTGCACCAGTAGCCCCTGTACCTGCCTCGATGAGGAGTGGGAGGGAAGGGTGAAGGGCAGCCCCCCTCACCTAATACCCTGACTTCCACCCTGCCCGCAGAGGTGGAGAACGTGGTGGACATCATCCTTTTCCTGCTGAGTGAGCGGAGCAGCATGACCACGGGTTCCACTGTGCCAGTGGATGGGGGCTTCCTGGCTTCCTGAGTCTCCCTTCCTGACACGCCCCTGCTCCATGCTGAGCCCACCCCCGTCCCCCATCTCTCCAATAAACGTGATTCTTCTGCCTAGCCTGCACACTATTTCTAGGCGGTTGGCAAGTGGCCAGAGATGCAGAGCCCAGTGCTGCGTGTGGGAATGAGTCCCAGGTAGGCAGTCACCATTCAACTCACATCCCAGGCCAGGTGGCCGGCTGGCTCCCATGCCTGAGATTGTCAGACCTGGCCAAGTCCCTGGCAGGGCCTGGGAGGTAGGACCTTCCAGAAGGCCAGCTCCTAAGCATGGTGATGCGTTTGACCAAGGATGGCCTTTGGCCCTGTCCAGAGGCCTTCGGGGTGGAAGCCTCGGAGTTCGTAACAACCAGCTCTGTGGATGTAGTCCTGCCATAAATGTTGGTTGATACTCGTCAAAGTTGATGAGGTAGACAAAAGGGAAACAAGAAAGATGGATATTGGAGCTTCACTAATTTGTCAATGATCTGAAAGACTTCTTTGCTGAGTCAGATGACAGTTTTCAAATACGGAAAGAACATTTTCTCACCTTTTTTGAGTTATTCACAAAGTACTGAGTGCACAAGACATGGAGCATGTGAGTTTAATCTGCATTTCTCCGTTGCTTGAAGTCTCAACAATGAATAGTAAATCAAGTCCCCGAGTAGAAGTTGCCTGTTCCCACGGCGTAGACTCCCACCCATTTGGTATCATTGAGGGCAGAGGTGGGGACAGATGCACGCTCTCCCACCTTTTTTTTTTTAAGATTGGCTGATTCTTAGAGACACAGAGCATGCAAGTGGGGAGGGGGGAGAGGGAGACAGAGTATCTCAAGCAGACTCATTGCTGAGCGCAGAGCTGATAGCACAGGGCTAGACAACAGGGCTCAAGATCACGACCTGAGCCAAAACCAAGAGTCAGAAGATCAACCGACTGAGCCCCCCAGGTGCCTCGAGGTCTCCCACCTTTATGTTGCATCCTCACCACACAGACACGGCTGGCGTAAATAACCCCAAAAACAGGTGTACTATGTACAAAAACAATTAGGGGTGTTTGGAGTATTTATTGATTTTGTTTTTAATATAGCTAACTGTAAGTTCATACAGTTATTAATAAAGGCTGTTGAGCAGCTGCCTAGCAAAATTCCCGAAAATCCGGCAGTTGGCTCTTCAGAGTTAGCTCAGGCCTGTTCTGCACACCACGGGGAGGCAGAGGGTTCTAATCATGTGTCTGCCTGGAGTGTGCCCTGTGGCCTCGGGTGAAGTCCGAGCTCCTGGACTGTGGTCCCGGGACCCTCCCAGGCTGACCCCTGCCTCGCCTCCCACTATTTCTGACTTCAGCGGTGACAGGCTCCCCCCCTTGCCGCTGCCTCCTCTCCTCTCCGAACCATGCTTGACCTCCACGCTTTCGTCTACACTGGACGCCTTTCCTCCTGACCACTTCTCTTCCTGAGTACTCGGCTCGGTGTCCCCCAGCCCTGGTGGGTGGGGGGAGCTCCGGAGGAGGCTGCTGGCACAGTCCTGCCAGGGGCTACATAGGGCTCGGTGGGCCTTGACCGCAGGCTGTTCCCTCACCACACTGGGAGCTGCCTGACCAAAGCCCACCTCACTCCCCTGGGTGTGCCCCTCTCAGAGGCCTGAAGTCAGTACGACGGGGGCTTTTCTTCACCCCAAAGGGGCTGCATGCCCTTACTCCCACTTTGGTCTGGGTCCCATCCTTTGGGGACTGACACAGCTGAGCAAGGTCTTTTTCTCCTTTTGCCCAGCGTGTGGGGTCAAGCTCATCCCTCTGTACTCTCTATGGGGGAGGTTAGGGGCAAAGCACCCCAGGCTAGAGAGACAAGTACCCAGACAGGAGATGTTGGTGGAGAATGTTTATTGTATAAAAGAAGTAAGGGCTACCCCTTCCTGGGGCGCATGAACAGGACCCACCCCCCCAACCTCCCCCATCAGGAAGCCCAGCCGGGGGCTGCCCTGGACCCGCCCCTGCAGCCCGAGGGAGACCCTGCTCCCTTCCAGCCTCCTGTGGGGTCCAGGTAAAGCTGGAGCTGTGCCCCCAGAAAAAGGAGACAGAGCAGACAGGACTCCACTGCCCCAGCCCTGTCCCCAGGAGGGGTGGCCTCGTCCCCATGCTTCTACCCCCTCCCCACCCACACCACTCCCCCACAGCAGACTCAGGGACACCAAACATCTCAACACGACAGCAAACACGGGTCGGGCGGGGCTGCTCCTCTCGAAGCAGGCTCTAGAAGACTGTGCACTTCTTCCCCGGCTTTTTCACAGGGGGTGGGCAGAGCACAGCCCGGATGGCCTCGTCAAACACGGTCTTCAGGCCCCGCTGAGTGAGGGCTGAGCACTCCAGGTACTTGACAGAGCCTAGGAGCAGAGAGGATAGGGGCTGCTGAGGATGGGAGTCAGCAAGGGGGAGGACAGCAAGGGAGGGGGCAGTGAGGGTGGGAGGGGGAGTGCAAGGAGGGGGTCAGCACGGGTGGGGGCCTTCCAGAGCATGCCTCCCGCCCCTTCTTTCCTGCCCCCACCTGAAGGCCCTGCAGTGCCCACTCACCGATCTCGCGGGCCATGGCCAGGCCCTGGGGGTAGGTGATAGGTGCCAGCTTCTTGTCCCGAAGCCGCTCGATGGTGTCCTTGTCGTCACGGAGGTCCAGCTTGGTGCCCACCAGGAGGATGGGCGTGTGGGGGCAGTGGTGTCGCACCTCTGGGTACCACTGTGGGGATGGAGGCTCTGACCCCTACACCTGGGGGCTTCCCCTACAGCCACGCCCACAGCAGGCCATGGCTCCCAAGGGTCCCTTCATCTCAGTCCCTGGATCCACACTGAGCCCTTCCTGCTTCAGGAAGCGGGCAGTGGGCTTGGTGGGGAAACAACCAAGGACAAAAATACGTACCTGGAAGGTTCGTATCGGCCCTCCCTGCTCTGAGAGCCTCGCTCACCACCCCTACCCCACCTCTGCCCCTTCATCACTCCCCCTGGGTCACCTTCAGATCCAAGCAAAACAGGGATCTCCTCTGCCTCTAAAGGACAAGTGACCTAAGGTCTTCAGGCAAGACACCCCTGCCCTGCCAGGGAAAGTCCTCTGGACACCCCCTCCCCTACAGACAAGCCCTCCCGGCAGCACTGCCCTACCTTGGCTCGAACATTCTCAAAGGATGCTGGGCTCACCAGGGAGAAGCAGATCAGAAAGACATCCTTGGGAGAAAGGGTGAGGGGGCCCAGGTGGGAGTGGTCAAGGACCTCCAAATGGCCCCTGTCCCTCCACACACACACGAGGACCTCAAGGACCCCACCCAAGCCACCCAGCTCCTGGGGCCGGCCCTGCTGTCACCTACAGTTTGGGGATAGGAGAGCGGCCTCAGCCGGTCATAGTCCTCCTGCCCGGCGGTATCCCACAGCCCCAGGTTGACCGGCTTCCCGTCCACCATCACGTTGGCAGAGTAATTGTCGAAACTGCCAGGCAGAGCACGACTGTCGGTCCAGATCTTGGGCTCTCGGGCCCGCACAGAACCTGAGCTTTGGCAGCACCCTGGCCCCACCCCAGAAGCCCAGAACAGGGCCACCTGGGCCTGACCTCGACGCCCAGGGGAGCCCTGAGATGGGCTAGCTCCAGACCCGCCCACCCGGAGCGCTCACACGGTGGGGATGTACTCTCCCGGGAAGGCGTTGGTCGTGTAGCTGATCAGCAAGCAGGTCTTCCCCACGGCGCTGCGGACAGAGGCGAGCCACGTTGCTCCCGGGCCAAGCCTCAGCCCTCTGCCCAGCAAGGGCAGCCCCCTCCCAAGGGACCACAGGCGGAGACAGGGGCCCCAGCCCAGCAGAGCTGCAGGCGGGCCTCCAGAGGGTAGGGCGGGGGCGAGCCGGCTCAGAGATCCCGGCACCCCGGCGAGGGTGGGACCCGCGCAGGGCTCAGTCCAGGTGAGAGGCCTGGCCCCACCCACCAGGAGGCCAGGCGGCGGCCCGGGCAGCATCAGGTGGGCCCGGGCTGCAGGCCTGCGCCCGGCGGCCAGCCGGGACCCCGCCCCGGTGCGCCCTCCCGCTCCTGCCCGGCCCCAGGGCGCGCGCCGCACGGGCGTCGGGGCCTGAGGGCCGCCCCGCCCGGGCCCGAGCCGGTACCCCGCACCCCCGCCCCGGAGCCGTGCGCTCAGCCCGGGCAAGGTCCCCGGGGCCGCCCCCGCCCGGCCCGCGGCCTCCGCGCCGCGCACTCACCCGTCGCCGACCACCACGCACTTGATGGCCTGCATGGGCGCGGGCCGGGCGGGCGCGGCCGCGAGCCGAGCTGCGGAGAAATGCCCGGCGCCGCAGCGGCCGCGGACCCGAGCCGAGCGCCGAGCCGAGCGGCCGGAGACAGCCGAGCGCCGCCGAGCGCCGGGCGCGGAGACAGCCGAGCGCGGCCGGCGGGGGGCGCGGGGGGCGCGGGCCCGCCCCGAGCCCGGCACTCGCCGTTCCGGGAGAGCTCTGCGAGGGGTGGGGACACGGCGACGCCCAGCCAGTCCCCAAGCCCCGGCGGGCTCCCCCCAGCGCCCCCGGGATCCAAGCCGCGGGCCAGGGCGCAGCGCGGGCAGGTGACTCCCACCCCCACCAGGCCGTGCGTGGGGTGGTCTCTGCTTGTGGCTTCTTCTAGGGAGGGCGCGCCCAGGGCCCACTGCCAGAGGGGATGAGACCCCCCCACCCCCGCCCTGGCGCTGGCAGTCCCCAGTCCCTCCGCCGCCGGAGGTCGCCCGCAGTAGCTCCGCAGTCACCACTGGTCGTCGGTAGGGAAGGGCCACCTGGCTGCACCCGGAGGGTCTTCCTTCCAGGGTTGGGACAGAGGGTCTCCTGGGTGGTTGGGAGCACAGATGACGTGGGAAAAGGTACCGGCCCCAAACGTATCACAAAGTGTAAAAGTTATGTATTTCAAAAGACCCAGGGAGTCTCCTGGTTACATTGTAAAAGGAGCATGTGTGGTTACATCGGACGAGCTGATTGTGAGGGGGGGAGCTGCGGACAGCTCTTCTGGATTTCCCCCCCCCCCTTGGGGGCTTTTCCTCAGACGCATGTCAGGCTTGTTCCCTGGGACTGGGAGGAAGGCTCGGGAAGGGCCCAGGGGGTGCCCCCTCCGGTCCTGGTGGCCAGCAGCCCTGGGCTGGCCTAGCCTGCTAGCCGGTGCTGAGCAGCGGCGGTCCGCACGCACTGATCCGGCTGGGCCCCGATTTTCCAAGTCCCCAGACGTAGACCCTGCCTGCGCTGCCAGACTGTCCGCCAGGCTGAGTCTGGAGACGCAGGGACGGGCAGCAATGGGGCACACATGTCTGGGAGATGCTGCCCTCCTGCCCCGCCCCGAGTATCCTGCCTCCCTTCACTTCTGGGGGCTGATAGCCCTCAGAGGAGACCCCTGCACATAAGCCAGGACAGCATTTTGCAGGAAGCCGGCTCTCTGGGCCTCCTCCTCCCGGATCCGGGCGATCTCGGCCTCCTTGAGCCGAAGCTTCTCCCGGAGAGAGGCGTTCTCACTCTCCCTGTCCAGCAGCGCCTCCCGGTGGTCACCTGCGATCACTGCAGGACAAGAAACGGGGTGGAGGCGGCCCCAGCCGATCGGGAGGTCGGCAGAGGGGCCTGGTGGGGCTTGTGCGGGGTCCCCTGGAGGCCAGGCCCAGCTCTGCAGCCCGCCCGCCCGCCCGCCCTTGGGACTAGTGAGAAAGGGTCCTGCTGAGATGGCGCGGCGCTCGGGCTCCGCTCACCTTTCAGCCGGCGCTCCAGGGCTGCCACCTTCTCTTTCAGCGCCTCCTGGGCCGTCAGTTCTGCCTGCAGGCGGCCGTTCTGCTCACGCAGCTCCACCCGCACCCTGGTCACCTCGGCCACCTTTTCTTGGTCCTTGTTGCTCAGTTCCTGCCAGACATGGGGGTGAGTGTGTGGTGGGGGGCGGGGAGGGGGCGGGTGCGAAGGACGCGGGGGGCACCATCCCAGCCACCTGCTGCAGCTCCTCCAGGCGTCGTCTCAGGCCTTCCACCTGCAGGCCCAGCTGGCTGGCCCGGGCCTGGGCCTCGGCCACCGTCTGCCTCTGCTGCAGGCAGGCGCTCTGAGCCTCGTCCCGAGCCTGCGCCTGCAGCCGCAGCTTCTCCTCCAGGTGAGCCAGATGCTGCCGCTGTGGGCACAGGAGAAGGGCTGGTAAGCAGCGCGGGGAGGGCCCAAGCCCTGCCTGTTGCTTCCCTCCTGTGGCCCTGAGCTCACGGGGAGTGGGAGGGATCCCCCGCCCCAGCTAGAGGGGAGCTTTCATTTGCAACGTGGAAACTGCCTCCTAAGTTATTATGTGTGTATATCCTGAATAGGCTCAACTTGAACTCGCCTATAGGGAGTACCCATCTCCCAGGCTGACCATTCTGCCCTCTGGGTCCTGGCTCTGGCCATGCATACCCCTTCCCCCATCCCAGGGCTGGAGTCAGTGGCTCTTTGCAGGGGGGTCGGAGGTGATCCTGGACCTGTCCTGCTCTGACTCCTATCTGCCCCTGTACCCTTGGGACTCCTGTCCCCCACCTCCCCCCTACAAAGCCAAAAGACAGCCTGGGTCTGACCTGTGCACTTCAGCCCCTCAGGCCTCGCTCCCTGGTGGCCACGGGCTCACCTCCTCCAGACGGACTTGGTTCTTAGCCTTAATGAGCTCCTCCTCAGCCTGGCCACGCTCACTGAGAGCCGCCGCCTTCACTCGGCTCAGCTCCTGCACCACAGACAGTGACCCACTGGGCCTGTTCTCCTGTCCTGGCCAGGGGCTCCTCGGGCCCCACCCAGCTGCTAGGCCAGGGGGTATACCCCTGCACCAGCCTCCTGAGGGCTCCGCTCACTAGGCAAGGTTGCCACAGCCAAGGGATCCCATGTCCCACCTCATGAGGTCCTTCTGGCCTCACAAGGATATTGATGGGTGGGTCCTGATGAGGTTCTGAGACCACAGAAGGGGTGCCCCAGGTAAGGGCAGAGCCTTGCACCAAACCAGCACATGCTCACCTCCTCCAGGGATAGCCGCAAGGCCTCCAGCCTCTGTACCCTCTCCTGCATGGCCCTCTCACTCTCTTCCAGGTGACGAGTCATGTGCTCCACCTGCCCAGGTGAGGGGCAGGAACAGGGCTGGAAGACTAGCTCCCCAGCTTACATCCCCCCATGGAATCCCCACCCCGTGGTGGCAAGTCCTGGGGACACTTCCTTCCCAGAAGGGGCTGCCCCTCGTGGCTTTGCAGGAAGCGAGGCTTCGCAGTGCCACACTCAGGTGGCAGCCTGTGCTAGGGTCCTTTCTAGAGGCTGGTCGGGAGTTTCTGGGTCTGGCATCTGCCGGGGCTGGCAAAGAACTCACACCCAGCACCGCAAGGTTGTCAGGGGAGCACAGCCAGGGGTGTGCGTTGGGGACAGCCTGCCACCCCGGGCGGACGGCAGGGACAAGAGGCCGGATGGTGTAACTAACAAGCACCTCCTTGGCTCGCAGCTGCTCCAAGTCCTCCAAGCTCTGTCGGGACCTTTTCTTCTCCAGTTCCAGACGCTCTGGAAGCCCAGCGGGGACAGCAGGGTGGGAATCCCTGGGGGGCCCTCACTCCCTGTCCTCCCCTTTCTGGGCCCCTCAGCCGCGAGCCTGCGTGTGCCCACCCTCGGCCTGGTTGGCCCGCATCTTCAGCTCAGCCGTCGTGTTGCTCAGCTCCTGCCTGGCCAGGAACAGCTGCTCCTGCTGAGCTCTCACCTTCCGCTCCAACTCGTCCACCTGGGAAGCCAGCACCATGGGCGGGAAGCTTGGGCCCTGGCCCCCTGCCCTTGGCCCCTGCCCCAGTCTCCCCGGGGGCCTGGCCCCTCACCCCTCACCTGGTTTCGCAGAAGCAGGTTCTTCTCGTTGGCAGCAGATAAGTCTCTGAGGAGCTTAGACTCCCGCTCTGCAGCCTCCTGCGGGTGAGACAGGGCACCACCGGTCACCCCTGCCAAGCACCGCCCGCCCCCCTGCCCGCCCTGGTCACCTGCTGCTCCATCCTGTGCTCCTTTGCCTGCCTCTGCGCCAAGCTTTGCTGTTCCTGCTCCGCAGTAGCCAAGAGCTCTCCCAGGCCCTGGGCCTTTTGCTCTGACAGGGCCAGGGCGGCCTCGGCCATCTGCAGCCTATAAGGAGGGAAAAGCCAGTCCCGCCCCAGCTTCACCTTGAGCCCTGCAAAGGCACTGCCGTTCTCCTTCTTGCCAACCACTAGTCACCTCAGCTAAAGCTCACCTCCTCCAAGAAGCCTTCTGGGATTATCAACCCCGCTGTCTCCCCCCTCTACTTTGTACACTGGGGACTAGGGTTCTTGTCTTTATCACTCTTTTCTGCCCCTGGCACATCCCTAAAACGTTCCGAAGCCACCCCTCCACCACTCGCCTACCCTCTGCCCCACTTACTTGGCCTTGAGGGCATTGATGATGGAATGTCTCTCATTCAGGGCTTCCTGAAGCTGCCCTACGCATGCTGCCGATACCCTATAAGCAAAAAGGAAGGTCCAGGAACCCCGAAGCTCAGAGCACTCCCAGGCCCCCCTGGCTCTGGTAGCAGCTACTGCTCTTCATGCTTCTACAACGTTCCAGGTGTGGCCAGGGAAGTTCTCAGTGCTGCCCCGAGCCCCCCAGCCAGTGTCTTTGGCAAGAACATGCTACCAGCTCATCGGTGGGCAAGTGACAAGGCTCAGGGCCAGTCACCCCACAAGGCCAGAGCCAGGACCCAAACCTCAGGCACCCCACCTGAGCTGTAGCTCTGCAGCCCTGGGGCCACACTCACCTGCTGCTCCTGGCCATCTCTTTTCGCTGCTTATCAATCGTCTCCATCAAGTCCAGAAACTGGGGACAGAGCCAACCAGAGCCCCGTCAGGGCCCGGAGCCTGCCTACCGCCCCTGGTTAAGCAGGAAGGAGGGCAGATGCCCACCGAAGCAGAACAGAAAAGCATCTGCCTCATCCGAGAGGGGGATGGGGCTCGCACACAGCGAGGCCCACTGCCCGCCCACCCGGCCAGAGGTCAGACCAAAAGGCTGCCTCTCGGGCCTGAGTGTTGGCCACTCAGAGAAGCTCCAGGGTCCAGGGGAAGGGAAGATGGCCATGGCATGGGGACCAAGGTGGAGCGAGGCTCTGCAGTGCTGTCCTCACCTGCCGGGACTTCTCTTCCCGGAGGTGTTTTACCTCCTTGCTGAGCACATGGGTGCGGGCCTGGTTCTCTCGGGAAGTGGTCTGCCGCTCCTGGTTGTGGTCCATGGCTTGCTCTACGGAGAGTCCAGTTGCCCACCAAGGGGGCTGCTCAGCCCTCAGAGTGGCCAACAGTTAGCCCAGCCCTGGGCCCAGAAGCCAGTCATCAGAGAATCAACACTGTGGGCAGTCTCACCCCGCAAATCAGAGCGCACTAGGAGGTGAAGGGCTTGAGCAGGGGTAGGGGTGGGGGTACCAGTGGGGCCGGGAGCCCCGGAGGCAACTGTGCAGGGCAGCACGCACATGGGAAGAGGCAGGGGAGACTGCCCAGCTGCCAGAGGTGGAGGCTATCCTGGGGCATTTGGGCTCCATCCCAAAGGTCAGAGTCCACTGTATGACTTTTAAGAATTGAATGTCATGGGGCACCTGGGTGGCTCAGTTGGTTAAGCGACTGCCTTCGGCTCAGGTCATGATCCTGGAGTCCCGGGATCGAGTCCCGCATCGGGCTCCCTGCTCAGCGGACTCTGCTTCTCCCTCTGATCCTCCCCCCTCTCATGCTCTCTCTCTCTGTCTCACTCTCTCTCAAATAAATAAAATCTTTAAAAAAAAAAAAAAAAGAATGTCATGCTCAACTCCTGTGTTCTGGAGAGATTCAGGCAGCATTTGGAGAAGAGCCACCCAAAAGCTGGGGGACTAGGAAAAGTTTGGGACGAT